TGACAGTCCAGACACACACATGGATTCAATTGGCCAGTGAATCAAAACACTCACACCAGAATCCAATTACCAATTCCCTTCAAGTAAACAACATTCCACAATGCATTCCACTTGTCAACAACACAGGCACAGCAAATGAGATAAGAATTGTTTTGATCATACTTTTCTCTGCTTTTCTCAGGTTCAGAGAATGTGAATCCCACAATGACTGAACACAAAACGTGCCATTTATTTAGAGTGAAAGGCTATGAAACAAGAATCTTTACCAGAAACCTTAAAATTTAAATGCTTCTATGACAACAATGAACAGAACTACATTCTGACAAGCAAGCTGAGGATTTGAAGAGGCTTCTCAAAATGAACTGATCTCATGAAATCACAGAGAACTTTAGCTACCTAGACATTAATTGGATAAAAAACCCCTGGCATTTAAAAAATCTGAAATTGCATCTTTACTAAGAAATGTCACAAATAAATATACTCGTGTCTCCTGAAAATTCATGTTCCACCATCTGGAAGACCCCCAAAATCTAATCTTGATCCAGAACATTTTCTGTTTCAGGGGAGGGTCCTGCCTTCCTTAGCAGACACCTGTCTGTCAAAACCAAGACAGATTTTGGTGCCCAAGATGAGGCTTAAGGGCATAGAAACAAAAAGGGAATAACAGTTCTTGAGAAATCTAATTTTTGTGTGCTGCTATAGAAACCTCGTTAAGTGACACCATGTGGTCCAGCTTACCCTAGTTTGGGTGGCATGTGATCGTAGCTGTATTTCTCCCATTTGCAGACCCTTATCTAAACATGGCTCCTATAATCAAGGCTGTTATCCACTTTGTTTTATGGGTGAATAAGGTGAGGAATTTATGGATTTTTAATTTCCTCTGGAAAGCAGGCACATGGATTCAGAGCTATCACACACTAACTGTATGTTTTTGGGGTTACTTTATAATGGCACCTACCATAACGAAATGACACTGGGGAAAATTTTCTCCCAACCCTTTAACCATCTCTTTGGGTCTGCCCCACCATTTTTTGAAGTGTTTAGATCCACTGTAAATACTAATAATATCATACAGTGGCTGATGTTGCTGATAGGCCTGTTCTATTTAGCATTTAGAGATAAGGAAAGGTTAACCTGGATAACCACCCTGACACCTACTCCAGAACCTGACATGGCACCAGAGACTAGGGATGCTGATGCCCCAGAGCCTGACCGTGCCCCACAGCCCACCCCAGATATGAACTACCCAGATTGGGTGGGGGGTCTGGTGAAGGAGATACGTGAGATTGGCCAGATGCTGAAGGAGTACATTTCCCCAGCTGGTGAGAAGCCCTGCCCCTGCCTCAAATAGGAGGAGTCTAACAGTGCAGCAGTGGAACCTACAGATGTTACAACTGTCCAGGTTCCAGCTGAACTGCAAAGGCAAGGCATAGCTAGCAGCAGTTGCCCCTATAGAAACAAGGAGATCTAAGATGAAATCAGAGCACCCAGAATGGGGGAGGGCCCTCACAACCCACAGGGGAGCCAGAGGTTGCAATCATCACTGAGTCCCTGACGTATGAAAGTCTCCGTAATCTGCACAAAGACATTGTATGACGGGGATGTGAGGCTTATACTTAGGGTCTGGGACCTTATGGGTATAGGTGTCCAGCTGGATGGTGGTGAGGCAAGGAATCTGGGACCCTGAATGGAAACAGAACCTGTTTCCATTGCCGGGGTGACAGGGGGATCACAGCAATTGATCCTGTTGGAAGCCAAGGTGAACCTGACTAGGAAAGAGTGGAAGAAACATCCTATTGTGACTGGCCCAGAGGCCCCGTGTATTCTGGGCATAGACTTCCTCCAGAATGGCTATTACAGAGACCCAAAGGGACTCAGATGGGCTTTTGGCAGAGCTGCTGTAGAGGCAGAGAACATTAAGAAGTTGAACACTTTGCCGGGACTATCAGAAAACCCATCTGCGGTAGGACTCCTGAAGGTAGAAGAGCAACGAGTGCCAATTGCCACTTCAACAGTGCGCCGCCGACAAATCGAGATGCTGTGATTCCCATCCACAAAATGATCTGTGAGCTGGAGAGCCAAGGGGTGGTCAGCAAAACCCACTCACCCTTCAACAGCCCCACTTGGCCTGTGCACAAGTCTGACAGAGAATGGAGATTGACTGTGGACTATCGTGGCTTTAATGAAGTGCCTCCACCGCTGAGTGCTGCTGTGCATGCTGGAACTCCAGTACAAGCTGGAGTCCAAGGCAGCGAAGTGGTATGCCACTATAGACATTGCTGACACATTTTTCTCCATTCCTCTGACAACAGAATGCAGGCCTCAGTTGGCTTTCACCTGGAGGGGAGTGCAGTACACCTGGAACCGACTGCCCTAGGGGTAGAAACACAGTCCTACCTTCTGCCATGGACTGATCCAGAGCACACATTGAGTCAGACAAAGAGACCCATTTCAAGAATTGCCTTATCAACATCTGGGCCAGAGAACATGGTATTGAATGGATATATCATATTCCTTATCATGCACCAGCTGCCAGGAAAGTTGAACAGCGCAATGGACTACTTAAGACTACCCTGAAAGCACTTGGCGGGGGAACTTTTATAAATTGGGAAATGAACTTAACAAAAGCTACCTGGATGGTCGACACCCAAGGGTCCATCAATCAAGCTGGTCTTGCCCAGTCTGAACCCTTGCACACAATGGATGGAGATAAAGTCCCTGTGGTACATATGAAAGATATTTTGGGAAAGATTGTTTGGATTAATTCCACCTCAGGCAAAGATAAACCCATCTGTGAAATTGTTTTTGCTCAAGGACCTGGTTACATTTGGTGGGTAATGCAGAAAGATGGAGAAAGCCGTTGTGTACCACAGGGAAACCTAGTCATAGGTGAGAACTGTGTGTAAGGTTTCTTTGCGATGCAGATGGAAAATAGAATAAGAGGTGGATCATGTTCTGGATTGCCAAGCAAATTGTATTCTATTTGCCATCTGTATGGCAGTTGTCTTCTGTTAAGTGGGAAGTTTTCCTTATCTCTTCCACAACCAATCCTCTCTCAGGGGAGATATCTGCCGATAATAAGCCTATTGAGCATCATTGCATGACTGATAAGAACTATAGCATCCTATTGTGAGATGCTCCGCCCAGAGGGAGGAGCCATGCATTTCTACCTGGATATCATCTTGAGTTTCTGGAACACCAGCATGGCTTCTCCACTGGATTTTCCAGAGGAACATCTGCCTCTTCCACTTGAGCTTCAGAGGAAGACTACAGCCTTTCTACAGGATCCCTGCTCCAACAGAACCACACCTCACACTCCAGGAGGACTGCAGCCACATCTCCAATTGGACTGCCACCAACACCCTGACCAACAGGGTGTCAGGTTGTGCTCTGACTCTGTCAGCGTTGTTCTGATTTTCTGCATTGTTTATTCTATCTTTTTATTTTCTTCCCTAATAAAGAACTGTTATCCCTGCTCCCATATTTTTGCCTGAGAGCCTCTTAATTTAAAATTTATAGCAATTTGGAGGGAGGGGGTTTTTCCTTTCCATTTCAGGGGAGGCTCCTGCCTTCCTTAGCAGACACCTGTCTGTAGAAACCAAGACAAGAAAAGATTCGGTATTCATGGTTAACTTTGGCTAGGAGAAGAGTCATGCTTAGAGGCCCTCTGCCATTCTATTTTCATATTGCAGCTTGGCTATTTTAAAGTGTCAGTGAAGTGCCATATAGTAGATCTACAGAAACTGAGAAATTTTACTCCCCATTTTACAGAATAGTTGATAAAAGCTAGAAAATAAGTACTAGCTTATAAATGCATCTTATATCTAAATTTGTAGCTCTATTCAGTCAACCAAAGACATAACATTTTACACATTTGTCTCCTGCAATAGGGTTAAGAAAATAGGCAGGTTGAGTTGTATGCAACTGATCTGTCAAGCAGGGTTTCTGAAAGGTTTCTCCTTAAAAATTAAATTGTGTGCTTATTAACTCACGTTCTGTGGGACTGAAAGCTTTGTATTTAATATAAAATGCTCTGTGGGTGACCAGCTCATCAGAATGGAAGTTGATTGCAACAGAATAACCATATTCTCTGTTTCTGTTGTTTTCTGAAAGAGTTTTACAGTATCTAGCAAGGCAAAAGTGAGAAATATTAATTTCTAACCAAAGGCTGCTGGGCAGCCATTTTCTTGGCCTGAAACTGCAGTAATTCATTGTGAACGACCCTCCATAATTTACCTAACTTCTTGGCAGTTTTATCGTCCTCTAAAGTAGCCTCCCATAATAAATCACCAAATTTACGCCACTCCATTAACTTGTGAACCGTATGGGGGTTAATAAAAACTCCCCTAGCATAGCCATAAGTCAAAAGCCCTGGTAAATCCTTTTGCAAATCTATCCCCTTAACCTGTCTTTTTTGTAAAAACGCAGTAAATAAATCATATGCTGCTTGCCTTTCCATACCTAAATCGTCAGTGCTGATTGCAGCTCTTCAAGGTCCGGCAGCAATATCGGCCAGGCTCGTCTATATGACACCCAAAGCACGGCGCGTCTCAGCTTCTTTTTTATCCACTTTTTTTTTTTTTTCTCTGCTGTCCTGGCTGCTTCAGGACCCGATCCATGTCTTCACTCTTCTATGGTGCGTTGCCATATCACGTCGGGGTCACCATTTGAGAAAAGTGAAGGGAGACGACCATCCAATTGATGAGCATCAAACTCCGATTTATTGATCCAGCTTACACCCCTTTATAGTAGTGTTAATTAAGCTCATACATATTGCAAAACCTGAGCTCATCATTGGTTACAGATTACATACCAACCCCTCCTTTGTTGCTAATACCTGTGGTTTCCTGTTCAGGCTAATACTTGTTTTCCTCATCCTGTTGTTGACTTGTTATTGACCATTCTCAAGGCCTCCATGTTTTCCACCATGTTTTTCTCATCACTTACTCAAGGACATGGTGTTTATTGTTTTTAAGGATAAAGCCTGCAAACCTGCTGCTTACAGCTGCCTTTTACTTTTTAACCAGCTGTATGTAATCATGGCCTTTTCCTATAAGCCATGTCTGAACAAAACTCTGCAACAATTAGGCAGTTCGTAGAAATCATGAGCAGATTTTAAGTCTTGCCAAAGGACTTGCTTGAAATTCAGAGGTGAATTTCTGAACCAGAGAATGTCCTGGCTCTGCAGAATTCAGAATTCAGGGAAATACACCGTGGTATCCATCATGTCAGGCATGATTTACATGACCATTTTTTCTTTTTGACATAGAAGAAAAGCTCTGATTATTATTAATTTTCTCTGGCTGCTGGGATTTGTCATCTTACACATTAATTTGTTGCAGTCAAAAAAATTCTCAAACTTCTGGAAGTTGGCAATATTTCCATCCCATAGCTGGCGCCTGTACATAGGACAGGAAACAAATGCATGCCTGAGAAGAAGTCAGGTTCAGTGGTTTCACTAGGTTTTCTCTGTTTCATCTACATCAAAAGCCATTTCTCCCAATTTTGTGTCTACATAAGATAAAGAAAAGTCATCAATACTCAGAAGAGTTCCTAGCACTTACCTTGATGATCCAGGCGCAGTCAATGTTTGGTGGGTAGTAACTTGGATAATAAGGAGAAGTCAGTGTCCCATTCCAGGAAATACATTGACCACCACATACTAGGAGAGAAATGCATCATCAAGGAGCACAGTTATCTCAGCTGTATGAAAGTGCAGAGTCTTCTCTACATACAGAGTTCGAGGAATGCCTTGTGGCAGTATTCAACTCACATTTTTCCTGTATTAACTGAAAATCCTTTAACTTCCACCTCCACATAACACTGAATTTCTCTTTTTTTGGATCAAATTACAACTAAGGGTAAGTAAAAAAAAACCTCTGACTGAAGTTTTTCTTTTTTAAAAAGGCATTCTTTCATGGTAAGTGAAAGAAGCAGCCAGATGTGGATGCAACACACCTCCCGCTTCCAATCACTTCTGACTTTTCTGTAGGTATTTTCAAAATTAAAAAGCAATAAGCCCAGTGAAGGGATAACTGATTAATTTCATGTAAACAAGGAAGTTTGTGTATCAGTTCTCAGTTTGAAAATGCCATATTGAGGTTTTATTTTCTACCAAGGACTCTATTAGATATCCAGTCCTTAGTGCTTTTGGTTCCCTTTAGGTAATATTGTGAATGCAAATATGAACATAACAGAAAATAAGATAATTCTGAAATTAAAAAAATATTGTAGCAAAACCTGGGCTAAATGTAATTTGAAATGCCCATCCTCAGAACAATAAAGCCATTTTAGTTAGTAATATGCATGGGATAAGTATTTGGATAAGCAGCGTGCAGAGAGACATAAGCTGAAATGCGGCAGTTTTGGAGGAGTTTGTCCTCAGTGACCTGTTCCACACATTAAAAGGAAAGTCACTTGCTTCATTGTCAAAACTCTTTCACTTATACCTTACCAAACAACTGTGGCTAAACTTGATCCTGTGGAGCCCCTTTATCTCTTCTAAAATTAGTACTACAGTTCGGCATTACTTAAAATATTTCACCCCAGAGGACTCATGTAAAATCCACAGTACCTCATAGATTTGGAATATAGGTCTTAGGTTTGGAACACGTTTTTCTTATGCAGTTAACTACACTGAACAATGCATTCAGAAAAATAACAAAGAGAAACTAGAAGTGTTTGCTCTTTTCCATTTTCTTTAAACACACATTCTATGATCTGTGGATACATTGCCAAAACTGACAAAAGTAGCTGCTCTCTCACTGGGGCTATCTAGCTTTGCCCAGATAGTGCCTGTAGCTGTCTGTCTGTCTGCTTCCCTGCTGCTGCTCGGTGTTACCCATGCAATGACTGGCAAGTAAGTCTTGAGTAGTTATCAGGAAGACAAAGTCTCCCAGACCAAAGGATGTTCTCTCTTTGTTCAATTCTCAGTCTTTTGTAAAGTGGATCTCAATGATAGTTCTCTACTTTATATGCCAACATTCCCTCTCCCAGATATGGTCAAGGCAATATCAACTTTTTAGAGGCAAAATCAGTAATAAGTGTGCTTTCATCAGATGCTTTTTCTATTAATTACTTACTGATTTTAGGAACAGCTTGAAAGTGAGCTTTTAATATGTTGCTTTCTCCTCTTTGGTCCAGTAAGAAGGTAAGCAACATCACATTACTTGATGAAGTTAAACATACAACCAAAGGAGTCCAGGCCCCAGGCCCACACCATCTGGAAGGTTACAAAAAAAAAAAAGCATTAAAAAAAATAATCCCAAAACATTTCCCATATTCCTGTTGTCTTTGCTGGGAAACTGGGCAGAAGTAACACTGATCTGGTCATCTGTGTTCAAGAATATTTCCCTGGCTACCACTTCCCTTTTATTCTTCCATCCAGCTGATAGTACACAGGATGCTTGGGCATCCCAGCATTGATGACTAGTCACTCTGCGTGTACGTCACCATTTTATTGCTTAACAAGTGTCCTGGAGTTTCTGTACCTATAGAAGCATCAGAAAGGCAATGCCAGATTATGTTACTTCAGTGGTGATAGTGACACTGAGAAGCAGAGGTTAGGAATGAAAAGGCAACAAGTGCCCGTGTAGCAGTGTTAAGCAGAATCTGTGCAACAAATGAACCCAAAGCATTTTCAATCTATCCATGTTCAGCCTGGTTTTGTGTCACAAAAACTATCACACAAAATGTGAAGCCCTATGCTTAGCAACTATTACTTCCTGCTGTTCTTTTACTTGTAATGTGAGATGCTATTTCTTGCATCTGTAATTCACTCTTATGTTTATTCCATTTTGCAACCTGCATCATATTTTGGAATTTTTCATTTATTTATAACTCTGTGATCCTTGTGGGTCACTTCCAACTGAGAATATTTTGTGAGTGAATCTATACATTAAAAATTTCTAACAGGTTTCTCTTTTTCTATGCGCAGCAAATGAAAGCAATGAAGATTAGACCTCACAGTAACAGATTATTTCCATCACAGCCCTGCATCAAGTTCTTTGATGTAACTGAGGCCCAGATTGGCAGCATTAAAATAAAATTTTTTAACCTTAAATTGAAAGTACTTTTATTCTGCTTTAGTGGGCTATTCTTTTCATGCATTTGAAGTGAGGCGCTAGTGAATGAATCTCTGCTTTGCCTCTCCTGCAGACATTATTAAATCCTTTCTATCATAATAGCTGACAAAACATTTATAAAATAACAATTTAAGTACCTCCACATTGCCATATGGAAATATTTCAGCATCTTCATCAACCCAGTCGACAGCCTGGTTTATCTTCTATCTGTACCTTCTGTCACAGTATCATCAGGAAAGCAAGGCAAGCTATGAGAAGAGTTGTCCACATGAGATACTTACTCTCACAGCACACCTCCCCATCTCAGCTTGCGCATGCTTTAGGATTTGTCACTGAACAGATTTATTACTGCAGTTTACAGAAACTGGAGAGAATCAGTTCAGTCGCCATGTGTGACCCTGGACCTCAACATTGGGGAATAATGGCTATCATAGTTACTGGCTGTCACGGATGGACATCCTGTTATTATTAGTTCTACTGCATGTGTAATAAGTATGTCACTAGGCTGCTTTTGATCCAAGAGCAAAACTAATAGACATATGCAAAACAATGCATTTTTTAGGGTGGCAGTAAAAGCAGCCACAAAAGTAATTTTTCTGAAGTACCTTCAGGCTTATAACATCATTTCAGTCACCAAATTCTGTTTTGGTTCTTTAATAGACAGACATCAATGCACATTCTTGAATTTTATCTTACAGCTTACTGCATCAATGTTCTCTAAATGTCTTATATCAGACACCTGTGTTGGTCTTGCTGTCTTCCAGGTGTTTTCATGCTCATGGCCAGCTCTACATTTGTGGCTCCTAAAAAGCTAAGCCAGTGTTAATAATACACAATGGAGTAACAGTAGCAGCAATAATCCATAATAAGTAGCAGAACAAATGCAGGCCTACATCAGGAACAGGATTCTCCTTTGAAGTTTGAGAGTAGCTCCTTACAAAAACCTTCTGTCCATTCCATGCCAACAATGACAAGACATATCTTATAGCATAGAGAGCAGTTAATTTTAGTACATTAATAGAGCTGAAGAGGACTACTCAATTGAGTTAAACCACTCCTAAACAAGTGCATTTCAGATTCCTAGCTGAATCTTCATGCCCAACTAACCTCTTCCTGAAAGTTCCAAGAATTTAAGTAAAGTTCTCCTCTTGAAACCATCCATCCTCAGATCCTACAATTTGTTTATTCATTTGGTTGAGGAAGACAGATTCCTTGTGCTCATACATGAAATTTAACTCTGAAAAATAGAAGTGCAGCCTCTCAAATTTAAATATCATCTGAACCCACTTATGCAAATACACTACAGTGACTCTGAGGATGTAGTCTTCCAACCCCCTATTATGAGGAGGAATTCAGCTGTGACTGGACTACCATAAAACATACATTTTCTGAAAGTAATAGAATATAATACTCCAAAATAAATTCTGTACGTTTTTGAGTTGTAAATGTGATTTTATGGAAAGGAACCCATTAGAATTAGTCATAGTGTAGAATAAACCCCACAGAAATTTGTAATGGGTTCCCCAGGGAAGAAGGGGTGATGGCACCAAGCTTGTTAAAGTTTAAGGAACATCTGGACAATGCATCAGATGGTTTGATTTTAGGTAGTCCTCTGAGGAGAAGGGAGTTGGACTTGGAAACCCTTATCAGTGCCTTTCAACTGTATTAGGAGATATTTTGATTACGTTATCCAAGATTTTAATTAAGTTGTATTTCAAATCTCAAATTCAAATTTTATCCATCTAGTACAGTTTCAGAGAGCTTCTGTACAGCTCAGTAAAGCATTTCTGCTCTGTATCTTACCTCGTAATGATCTTGTTCTGCAGTGGAAGAAGGAAATCATATGCTGACAAGTGGTATGATGCACAGCTCTCTGGAGTGACACCATGCAGAGTGATAACTACCATGTAATTAGGAGGAACTTACAGTCTCCATTGATAAAAAGACTTTTTGGGATTCATCAGAGTTAGAGTCCTGTTGTTACCTGGCTTGGAATACAGGTCAAAGGATACTGCTACAAGTAGAGTGTAGATCAGTATGGAGAAACTGTTAGACTGTAAGATAGGTTCTTGGGTAAGATTTCTGACAAGGTAGAAAAAAATCACATACTCATATTTCTTGACTCCTCTATTCCTTTTTTGCTCTTACATTTACAATTCTGTTGCCCTTTTCCTATCAGACTGCATCACCTTCTCCAGCTCTGGCCAAGGGAGTGCAAAGCCTCACCATCATAAGCAGGAACTGATTCAGCTGCAATTGCTACAATATCTGCCTAATTGATCACTAACAATATAAAACCAAAATTGTCTAGTCACAAGCCAAATTATGTACAATTTCTTAGAGGTTTTGTTGGGTGTTTTTTTGTTTGCTTGTTTGTTTTGTTTTTGGGGATTTTTTTAGAAATGGCAAAAATCAGAGCCACAGCTCACTGCAATAGAGGGAGCTATAAAATTTCAGCCATTCTAGTCAGAACATCAGAATAAAAGCTGTAAGGTATTTCCATCCAGCCTTCATTTGAAACAGAAGACATGAAGATTCCATAACCTAGTTTAGTTCATAAGCCCTATGAAAAAATGCCATTTTTCTATCACAGGTTTCCACTCCCCCTCAAAGTGGCATCACTTGGGATTGAAGCATAATTTCCTGATCTTATCATCACATCATATTCTGTGGAATTGGAAACTGAAATGTAATAATTATGAGCTACACAAGCCAAAGACACGAAGTGGAGAAAGAAAAATAGACATAATAGGTATTAAATGACAGGTACATTGATACCAAAAAGCTCCATTGTAACAAGACCAAAATCTTCCTCCCCAGAACTGAACAAGGAAATTGCTTGTTTACTACAGATTTCTTTTTGTTCCACTGGGGTTAATTTTTCAAGAAAAGTAACCATATCTTGTGGAGCCCAGAATGTATTCCAGAAGTGAGCTTGAAGCCCAGATTCTCCTTCACTGTGAAAGGAAAAGAAATTCACTATAAATACAGTCTAATTACTATTTTGGACATGGTTTTCACTGGTCTGCATTTTTGGCTGGCGCAGTTTCTGAAGTTGCTGAACTTCTGTGCCCAATAGTTGCTGCTAAACATGGTGACAAAAGGCTCTTTTGTTTAACAACTAGTTTTGTTGCATTTTTATACAGTAGGACTATTTTTGACATATACAGATTAAACAGCTACACACTGAGACAGAAAACCACACCTTGAAATCCTTCAATAGTTTTTATGAAATTGGATGTTACCATCCCTGCTGTATAATTTTACACTTTTAAGATCAGATAAAAGCTCCAGACACATTGCAATTAAATTTTTAATGGAAGCTATGATTTTATGCTCGCAATTTCTTTGCTCACACAATTTTTGTTGAAATAAAGAATCCTTGAGCATACACATACAAGTTATTACTTCAGTGATTCCACCACAATCCTTTGAAATCACCTGTGCACTGACCATTCAGGATTTTCAGAAACTAACAGGATTGTAATAACCTGCTGCTCAGTGGATTTACATTTCTTACCAGGAGCTCAAATAGTGTTTTGCCCCAAATTACACATATAAGGATTTGTTTTCAGAGGTTGAAAGATAACTTTATTTGAATGGATAAAATAAGATCTTGCAAGAGCTGAATTATTATTTCAAAAATTTAAAGTAGATTAACAGACAAAAACACAACCCATAGACTCAGAAACGATTAATCAGACTTCATTTCTCACAAATTCTACAGGGCAGGACAGAAGTCACACTATAAGCTTAAATCATATACTTAAATGCATTTCTGCATTTTTAATTCTCTTACAGAGATGTGCATTTTCTTCTAGATAGCAAATTTAAAATGCATTAAAGAAAAACAGGAAAACACAGCTGAATATATCAAATTTCCACCAAACCTTCTTGGTAAGATGGGCAGTAGCAAACATGCAGACTTTCCTAGAGAAAGACCATGGATGGCATTAGTGTTAAAAAAGAAGAGCTATTGTAACATATTTTCGTGTATTTACTCCCATAATTTTGAAGACATAAAAATATTGCAAATTGAGATAAGATCTTTCATGTTATCAGCTACATCACACCTGAAACCCTTATCTCTCTGGGCTATTTCCTTTTTGTATGCATCTCAGTCTGGGAAAGTGTGGGGAGGGGGGGAGGGGAATTTTTATAATTTTAGTTAAGAGCAATTTATGAAGAATGGGGGTCAGTGGACACAGGAGTAGACAGAGATAATTTTTTTACTATGTTCCTACTGCAAAGCTTAGCTGGTGGCTCTTACCTGCCCTGCGACCTGTTCAGCACTTGGTACTGGAATGCTGTACACAGAAATCTGGCTGGAGGGAAAAGCCTGCAGCATGATGCCATGACAAATGCCTTTTGACAAAGCTAGCAGCAACCCCATAAATGAACCCCGTTTCTTAAACAGAATAGCTGCTCTCCCCACTGCACATCCCGAGCTTCTCTTTTTTCACCTTTGCTGTACTGCTTCGATTGGGAGCCAGCTGATTTGCAATCATAGAAGGTGGGCAGGAAAAGTTACCATCACTGTAACTCTTTGTTTACCTGACAGGCTAAGTAGGATATGGATCCCATAATTTGAAAATAGATCACTTCTTTCTGAAACATGGGAGTAGGGAAAAAATTTATGACACAATGCAAAGGACATGCAGACATGCAATTTACAGATAAAAGGTCCCAGGGCAATATGAATGAGGCAACTTCTAATAAACACCCTGGGGAATTAATAGAAATATCTGTAAGAGAGGAAACATGCTCAGTTCCACATGTCACCTCAGTTTTCCAGTTTCAAGACAGTACCACAGAATAAATACGGTAAATAAATTGCAAAGCAATTTATGTTCACATTTCCTGTTTGAAAGGAAAAGCAGCTTTAAGTCAGCAAACCATCAAGCTCAGCATGTTCTGCTTATAAAATAAGAAAATCAAGGATGTGTGTGGGGAAAGAACATATTTGATACATGTTGAAAGAGAGAGAGAGCACAAAGAACAGAATCTAGAAAAGCAAAAGGAAATGGAGAAATCTCAGCCCCAGAAAAATAATACAAAGGGAACAAAGGAATAAAACAAATCTGAACAGTTCATACAGAGATTGCAAAAGGGGTTAATTCGAAGGCAATCCTCACAGCTCAGAAATTCAAACTACAACTGCAGACAGATGGCTTTGTTTAAGTCCTCTGCTTTTCAACAGCCTGTCTCTGCTATACATACAGAACCTGCTGACTGATGCTTTGCCCCTTCCTTCCTTCCTTCCTTCATGGAAAAGGCAAA